TATGACCCATGCGCATGTGCTTTGACCCGGCTATACCACTATTAGGCCTATGTACCGAAGACATTAAGAAAAAAAAGAAGGGGACCTATATGTGTAAAAACACTTAGAGCAGCTCTTTTTTTACTAGCCAAAAATTGGAAACTAAGGAGTTATCTACCTATTGGAGAATGGCTAAACAAATTATAATGTGAATGTAATGGAATACTATTGTGCCATAAGAAATGATGAAATACACAATTTCAGAAGAAACCAGGAAGATCTCTCAGATCTTATGAAGAATGGAGTGACCTGAACTAGAACAATTTATACAATGTCAACACCATAGAGAAAAATAATTACATAGAGTGTAGAAGAATGGTGGTAGGGCAGGGAATTTTATTCTGGGAATGATGAATTGAGCCATAGGGGAATATAATTGGTAATCAGAACAGCATACTCCCACAAGGTAAGACACAAGAAATATGATTGGGAGGGTGCAGTGGCAGCAGAAGTAATGGCAGAGTGGTATGGAAGGAAAATGATAGTAAACTTGGTCAGATAGATAGGGCTGAATAGATAGGGTGAACTCTTACTAATCAGGCCAGCATGACCCAGGGGTAGCTTATAGAGGTGACAGTGGCAAGGCAGCACTATACCTCACTCCTCTCATAAGAGGGAGGGATTATGGGTGTGGAATATTTCATATACTATCAGATGAGATCAATACATTTGTTATATAACCATTATACTCTGTTCTCACTCTCTAAGAGCAAGGCATACTACATTTCCTTTTCAGGCTTCAAGGTTTTGAGTGGTTTGTTCCTACTATCTGGATTCCCCCAATGGTAAGCATCACTGTTAGAACCTCATTTTCATTTAACCACTTGATATGAATTAACTTTTATAAAAGGGGTATTTATTTCAAAGATATGGCAAGAACAGAAATAGAAACAATTCTGCCTAACACTTTAGGGCCATACTTTCTCCTATCTCCCTTAGATTTTAGCGGGGGAAAGTGGGATCACTCTTGGAAAAGTTTATTGGTCCCCCCAAGTTCATATTCAGATGTAATATGACTGCCAGATGAGTTATCATCTCTGCTACCCTAGGCTAGGTCCTGAGAGTCACTCCTTGCTCTTCAGCATATTAATGGTAAAATGGCTACAAAAACCCAGACTCAGTATGCCTGAATGCTATTCTCCCTTAACCTCAAATGAAAGAACAAAGTTAGAGGCAGGCAAAGAACCACCTCAGGGCCACTTGGCAGCCTCAGTGATGAGGGTATAAGACCTCTCCCCTTATAGTGTTGTCTGCAAAAGGAGTCCAAAAGATAAAAGAGTAGCCAAAGAGACATAGCCAAAGAAACTAGGCTGAGGCAGACTCAAACCTTTCTGAAGTTGTTCCCATTTCTGACAATGCAGCCAATCAAATAAACAAACAAAAAAATTAATGAATAAAGGCTTCTCTTAATCACATGGTTAACAGACCAAAAACAGGAACAGAATTTATACCCATGCTCCACAGTCTCTCCAAGACACTTCCATTCCACATCTAAGTGCTTATAAAGCATTTTAAGGTTTGCAAAGTGCTCTACAAATGTTATCTCATTTGATAGCCTGTGAGGTAGGTGCTATTATTACCCCCCACCTACAGATGAGGAATCTGAATCAGACAAAAGTTACATGACTTACCCAAATAGCTAGGTAGTGTCTGAGTCAGGATTTGAACTCTGGTCTTTCTGATGCCAGATCCAGCATCTGTTCCACCAGCTAGCTACCTTATTATATCATCACAACTCTCCTGGAAGCAGGCTCCTCATACTTTCTACCTCTATTACAATTAGTTTTGCTGAAATTTTTTTCTACTTTAAAAATCATTGTTATAGGGGCAGTTAGTTGGCGCAGTGGATAAAGCACCAGCCCTGGACTCAGGAGGACCTGAGTTCAAATCTGACCCCAGACATAAAACACTCACTAGCTGTGTGACCCTGGGCAAGTCACTTACCCCCATTGCCTAGCCCCCCCCCCAAAAAAAAATAATTGTTACAAGAGATGGTTCATTGGAGAAAGAGGTGGAGAAGAATATATTTGGAAATGAATGCCAATTGATAAATAATCAAAAGACATGATAAAATAATTTTTCAGAACTACAAACTATATGGGAAAAACTTTATGGGAAAAAATGCTCTAAATCACTACTATTCTTAATGCAAATTTAAAGAACTCTGAGGTGCCACCTCACACCCATCAGATTGGCAAAGTTGACAAAAAAAAAAGGAAAATGACAATTGCTGGACAGGCTAAGGAAAAACAGGTACATTAATGCACTGTTGAAGAAGCTGTGAATAGGCTCAACTATTTTGTAAGAGGATTTGGAACTACGACCAAAAAGCTTTCAAACTGTGCATAAGATTGGAGACACCACTGCTAAGTATATACCCCAAAGAAATAAAAGAAAGAGGAAAAAATCATATATACAGAAATATTTATAACAGTGTGTGTGAGTGACTCTGGGAAAGTCACTTAACCCCATTGCCTAGCCAAAAAAAAAAGGAAGAAGCAGTGTGTGGGTGTGGGTGGGTGTGCGCACACGCACAAAGAATTGGAAACTGAGGGGTGTCTATCAATCTGGGAATGGCTGAACAAGCCATGATATATGGATGTGATGGAATCCTACTTTGCTGTAAGAAATTATGAAGGGTATGGTTTCAGAGGAATCTGGTAAGTCTCGTATGAACCGATACAGAGTGAAATGAACAAGCCAAGAAAACAATTTATACAGTAACAGCAACATTGTAAAGACAAACAATTTTAAGAGACTTAGGAATTCAGATCAACATAGTGACCAACCACTATTCCAAAAGATTCACGATTAAACATGCTCCCTACTTCCTGATAGAGAGGTGATGAACTCACAGTGCAGATTGAGACATGCACACACACACACACACACACACACACACACCATGCACACACATACGTGTATATATGAAATGATCAGTGCAGGAATTTGTTTTGCTTGACTATACTTGCTTGTAACAGGGTTTTTTTTTTCTTTTTCATAGAGGGGAAAAAGGGAGATAGGTGGAGAGAATGTGGATCTGGAAAAAATTGAATTTAAAAGTAAATAGATGCCTTTATGTCAGTGGAAACAAGGGCACCAGTCAAAACAAGGATTCATTTTAAAAATTCTGATTTTTCCAAATCTTTCCAAAAAGAATTTCCCAAAATTGGAAAATATTGACTGTTTTTTCTATTTTAACAAACTGCATTTTTCACTCCTAGAGAATCATAGAATTCAAAGCTGAAAGGGATCAGAGCTTAAAGAGGATCTCCTCTACCTCACATCAGACAAGTGATAATCCAGAGTTTATTTGAAGATGTCCAATTATTTGGAACTCATCACTTCTCAAGGCTATCCTTTCCACTTCTAGATACCCCCAATTGCTAAGAAATTTTTCCTTCCATAAAACCTAAATTTGCTACTTTATAATTTATACTTATCTTCTATTTCTGCCCTCTGACCATAAACAGAACAAATCAAATGCCTCTATTTTGTGGTAGACCTTTAAATACTTGAAGAAAGTTAAAATATCTCCTCAAGTCTTCTCTTCTTTAGACAAAATACCCCCAATTCCTTCCACTAACATTCATATGACCTAAATTTGAAGCTTTTCTCCACCCTTCTTGCCTTGTTTAAGATCATCTGTAGCTTAGCAATATTTTTCCGAAAATACAGTTCCCAGGAGTGAACATGGTACTCCAGACATACTTTGGCCAAGGCAGAGTACCGAATGAAAATCACTTCCTTATTACTGGAAACTCTGAGACCGTATTAATGGATCCCAAAATTTCATTTGCTTTTTTGACTGATACATTATTACTGCTGACTCATATTGAATTTGTATTCCATGATTCTCCCTATCAATTTTTTCAAATTGTTGTTTAACTATGTTTCTCCAAACTTATACTTGTGAAGCTGAATTGTGAACCTTGGTGTAATAGCACTGAGGTAACAAATGTAGACATGTGCTCACTCACATTGCCCAAGAAAGGAATTCCATGGACAGTGTTCCCAAATGGCCAGTGTCCTGTGTAGAAAATATGGAGGTGGGATTGATCATGAAAGAGATTTGATCCTGATATCTAGTCTTCTAGCAGAAGAAGAAGGATATTTTGGACATTGCTAGCCCTAGACTGTCTCAAGTGTAACCCCAAGTCTGAGATTTCAAGGATCAAAATTTCTGGGAAAGAGAAAGGATATTTCTTGAGTAGTGTACCTCCTGGAAAGAGAAGAGGAACATCCACAAAGTCCCTGTAGCCAAAGCAACAGGTAAGATATGTAGCCACATCATGGAGAAACAAGAGATCAGGACTTTGCTTCCTGTCCCCTACTATTACAGTGAGTATTTTTAAATAATGCTGGTCTGATGTGATGAGGATTGCCTGTCAACCAGTTAGAAAGTGTGTGCTTTCGGGGATCCCAAACCCAGAGGGCTTTGTAAATCTCAAATGAACTGTGTAGGACCTTGTGGAAGGGCTAGGAATTCACTAGAATTTGGAATGTTGCCCCAGTAGAAACTTCATCAGATTTATTTGCTACTGTGAATCTTCTTCATTTTTGGCTCTATTACCCACATTTATGGAAAACTAGCTTCTAGGATATTTGGAGATTTTCTTGGAGGTAAAATCTTGGTGGGAACAGAAAGCCAAAGAGAATATGACTACTTTTGGCTAGGGCAATGTTTATTTTATGGTGATACTACCCCTTTGGCCAAAATGTCTAGCCTAAGCTTACTTTCCCACCATCTCATTTCTATCACTTTCTCCACCTTGAATTTTCTCTACTGATCTTGAAGAAAGGATATCTAAGACACTGGCCTTTCTTCCTCCCAGTAAAGCCCTCTCCTTCAGAGGTAAGATGGAGAAACTGAGAGAAAGTGATGTTGTATCCTCTAGATTTAATTCTTTCTCTCCCCTGTGCCTGTCTTATCAGCCCCTAATCAGTAAGAGAGAACATACCACAGTATCCTGGTGTTCCACAAACAGTCTTCATGGTAACTTGATCCTCCACAATTTTAGAAAGCCCAAAATCAGCTGTTAAAATAAAGGGAGCAAATCACAAAACAATTCAAAATTTTCACATCTGCTGTGCAATGGCAGACTATTCTTCTGTACACATGACCCTCAATAAAATACTTTTTTTGTCAGTGGAAGGCTGAGGGCAAAAAAAAAAAGTTATAGGGAGAAAAGTTTGAAGCTTTTAATAATAGAGAAAATTTTAAAAAGTAATCTTATGATCATCTTCTCATCAATCCATGCCAGAAGATCTTAATCTTTTTGGGGTCATAGATCCTTTTGGCAGTCTGGTGAAGACAGCTTCTCAGAATAATTTTAAAGTAGTTCACATGTCAACAATCAAATGAGTTAAACATGTCAAGGGTTTTGTAACCCTTAAAGTGATATATAAATGCTAGCTATTTTTATTTTTATGATCACTGTTTTAAGTGTATAAAAAATATATAGAGAATTTCAACAGAAACCAATTATGTTCAAATACAGTTATCGAAGTATTAAAAAAAAGTTCATGGACCCCAGGTTAAGAATCCCCAATCTATGCCAATGTATTAAATACTTCTTTCAATGAAATAGACAAGCAAAATAAAATAATATCGGGTTACCAGTCCTGACCTTAGTGAAATGCACAATTATTGACAAGAATAGTGTCGATAAATAGAACAATTCGGAACTTCTGAATTATTTAATGAGAATGAAATGCAAAACAAAAAAACTTCATAACAAAGTTTGGAGAAAATGGTCATTAATGAACAGAAATATGAAATATCTGTATTCTGCCAGAATATAGACAGCAAATTGCTAGTAGATATTTTGGGGACAATAATCAATTGCTATCAAAAAAGAAAGAAAAATAGTTTTTCAAACAAAAAAAACTTCAGTCAAATATTTCATTTGAGCTAAGCATTGCTTAAAGTTGTTATCATTTTGAGCCATTTGTCAAGCTAGAATCATCTGACTCAGGAAACACATGAAGCACTTTGTTGGAAATATTTTATTTCTAGAACCCGGAGTGAAATTTTTGGCATTTTAACTTTAACAATTTAACTACATTCCCATTAAAGGTGACTATGAGTTGGAAGTATTTCAAAATGCAAAGTTCTATTGCATAAATTATTATCTATTAATCTATCATCAGATAAACTTCCTTTAGGATAACATTTCCAAAAGAGAGGTCAAGGAAAATGAGATCTTTCCTCAGGTCCGTTGCCTTTTGTGTGGTTTTTCTAATGGCTGTCCACAGCAAATTCTAGATGACTTTCACCATTTTCAAAAGAATTTCTTTTTAGTGACTACATTCATGAAACGGACCTTACCATATGTATGAGCTCATTTTCAGTGGCCAGAGATAAATACATAGATTAAGGACACAGAAGGTACCACATGCTCATTACAAAATGAAGTGGTATTTAGGGAATGTATTGACATTTTTATGATATATAGTCTACTCTTGGTTAGCTGGAACTTAATTTAAAAGAAGTTGAATCATTCTGGTTTTTTGTTCTTCGTGTTTCTCCTTTCTCCCTTTTATCATAGGACCACATCTATTTGGGGGGCAGCAAATGATAATTGTGTTAAAAATAATCCCTTCTACAGTAAGAGAAAAAACAAAACCAAGAGATGTTCAGTGACTAACAAGTAATAAGAATTTGCTTCAAGATTCATGGAAGAATAATTCCAAACACCTTTACACTGTCCAGCTGTTTTTTTTTTTTTAAACAGAGTACCATTTGGAAAACTACCAATATCGGGAGATGGACAATTCACTCCTTTTGGACCAGGCTGAGTAATCTTGGGCTAAATTCTTGTTTGCTTAAAATCAAGTCTTTACTATAGCAATCACTTTTCTATATTTAATAGCACAATACATGGCACAATCTCTTGAGACAAAATGCATTTTTCATTCCTTTTAAGCTTCAAAATAATCCAGGAACTACCAGAAAGAAGAAATATTTTACATCCTACTAAAAACATTTATCCACCTATAAAAAGAGGAGTGGGTAAGTCATTAGGTTGTTTCTTACCTATTTTGAGTGGTGCATCTGGTTCTGGAGTTGCATAGAGAAGATTCTCAGGTTTAAGATCACGATGGACAATTCCATTTTCATGTAGGTACTAAATAGGAAAAATCATGTCAGGAAATTCAGAAAATTGTATTTATTGTATGCTCTTATGATATATATGCATATGTATATATGATGAGAAATTTTACTATTTGCATATAACATGAATAAAGAAGTTAACCTAAAAAACAAAATTTTTTTCAAACTAAGAGTAATCAAATTATCGACTATAATGGTTATCTGAATGTGAAAGGCAGTTTCAATGGCGTGGCATCAAGTGGGTAGACTTAGATAATACCTATTAAGAAGCAGTATTGGCTATTCTACTTATATATGCAGCTATAATAATTTAATTATTATTACTTAACATCTTCAAAGAAAAGAGAGTAAGGAATTCAGTGGCCACAAAAGAATATACATATGACTTGGTTATCATTTTAATAGCATAATAACTATATCAAATCATGAAAACTCATGATAAAACAGAGCATATACCATTAAATGTCCCAATTTTCAAAAAAAAAAAAAGAAGAGAATGGAGTCTACACCATTATAGACCAGAGAGTTTGATTTTGATTCCTAGTAAAATCCTAAAATGTGTTATTAAAAGGATAGTAGTGAAATATAGTTCAACTAAATTGATTTTTTTAAATAATGAACTTGCCAAATGTCAATAAACATGGACATTGCCACATAGAACTGTAGATATTCACATGGATTTTTCTTGCCAGAAAGGAAAAAATTCTGAAGCCTAACTGAACTCTGGAAATTGGATTCTTGTAGTGTTTCCTACTACCACTGAGGAGAAAGGTAGCAATGATGGTGATCAAAGAGAACAGACTAGATTTTATGTACTGTAGGCTTGAATCCTACAATGAATGCTCCACTAAGGAGAAAATAATAAAAAATATTGGGAGATATAGGGAAACTGTAACATTCTGATAGATGCTAAAGGTGATCACTCACTGAAGATCAAGACAAGAACCTTAACTCTGCTCCCATGTGCCTCTTGCCACTGGTACTTTATTTCTTTAAACTGTTTCTATTGCCTGAATTTTTGTCTTCTCTAAAGAATGACCAATCATAAAGAATCTGTGCTTCATGTCTATTAATGAATTGTGTGTAAGGGGTAGTGCAGTAAAAGAGGCTAGTGACTACCTAGAAATACCGGAACTAATATAGGACAGTGGTTTGAACCACTGTCTAAAGTAGTCAGTATTTCAACTTTGTCATTTCTTATTGCATGATAGTAACCCATTATCCCTGGCTCAAGGAGTCACTTGCATTTGATTCTCCTTTTTGGTGGAAATTGATTACTCAATGCTCCATGCCTGCTTGAGGGGTGGAGTTGGTGAGAGCTAAAGAGAAGAGACAACCTCATCTTCTTGCTTCCAGCTATGAGAGAGAAGACACATGATTCCAGACTTTCTTAAGATACTTGAAGGGAGAGAAAGACTCTGGGTTGAAGCCAAGATGCAGAGTAGCTGGCAAATTCAGTCATTTCCCTATCCCCAGCTTACTATACTACTGATTCCTTGGATGAGATCTGAGACTCTCCCTCTTCATTGATCTGTTGTCTTGCTCCCAATGGGAAAACTCATTTACTGTGTATTTTCTAGTATGTATTCTCATGTATTTTTTTTTCTAGTTTCTGTTTGCAATTTATTTGATATAAGTTGGCTTATTTACTGTTTGCTATGTATGTTCATTATAGAACTGGCATCTCATAAGAAGGGTCAAGCCTTGGATAATACAATTTGTGGAATTCCTTTCCCATAGTAATAGTAATCAGGACTATAGTTTGAACTGAAAAATTATTTGCCCTAGATTCATAATATTTAAAGGAGCATATATCTATGTCTAATCTATATCTGGGGCTAGACCATACATATATGCACATATATGAATGAAAGTGAAGTATGTATGTGCTATATATATATATATATATATGTATGTATTTCTATACATTTATATATTTCCATAAATATTTCTGGGCAGTTATGTAGTGCACTGGAAAGAGTGCTGAGCCTAAAGTCAGGACGACTCATCTTCCTGAGATCAAATCAGACTTTAATAGTTGTGTGACCATGGGCAAGTCACTTAAACCTGTTTGCCTCACTTTCTCATTTGTAAAATGAGCTGGAGAAGGTAATGGCAAACCACTCCAGTATCTTTGCCAAGAAAACCCCAAAGCGGGTCACAAAAAGTGGGACATGACTAAAATAACTGAACAACAACAATATAAATATTTCTATAAAATTCTATATGTATAATCTTAGTCCAGTATTCCCTCTCTCTCTGAAAAAATAAGTGGTCTTCCTCTGGCCCCTACCTCCAGTTTTACCTTCTCTTAGGAATCAAAGTTTCTCTTGGAAAAGGGGAAAGGAAGGAGACTCTAGACACACCTATTCTTGCCTCCCTGTGACACATATCTACACAGACCCATTTGGACACACATGACCTTGGACCAAAAACACAACATGCTCATGCATGACCTGCATGAGACTCTGTTTGCAAGAATATCACTAAAACTCTTGGTTATTATTTTTTTTGCAAAAATAAAGTGTTTTTTTAAACTAGTCCCCCCCCCAAAAAAAAGCCGTGGAAATTGTTCTTTTACTATCCTGTAGTTCTCCAGTATTTTTCCTCAAGAGCAGTCCATTGTTTTCTGAATGGAGTACTAAGTACAGCTTTTTCACTCAAATCACTTCTGGTTTGTATTGAGTATTCAATTTTATGAGGCCCGTGTTTTTAGGTTCGTTTATACTTTTGCTGGCTTGGAATGAGTTTAAATAGAAATTATTTTCTACAAACCACCTGGTTTATTTACAGTTTAAATTTCCATATTAGCTGATATTTTATTTTTGGTTTTTGATAGCAATTTCCCAGAAAAGATTATCCCCAAATGATTTTTTTTTTGCTGGTTAATCCTGAGGGAATCTCCTTTGACTCAATGAATCATTTTTTTTTTTACCCAGCCTTTCAGGCAAGCAATTTGGGTGATGGGAGACTTTTTTTGATTTAGAAAGATTTTGGCAAAAATTTCTGTGGCCATCTTTCTTTTTTTGTCTCAGAAGGACATTTTGGCTTTCCATACTGGAAAAAAATCATTTTGTTTTCTTTTCTCTTCATAGGAAGCAGATTTTCTTTAGATTCATACATAATTTCATTTCATCCTTGTGGCATCCTGGAATTATTTTTTAATGTAATTTTAATTTTGGTCTTATTGGGTTTTTTTGGAAGTGTAACAAGTTTATCTAAACTGGCTTGGTTTCATCCTAACATGATGTTAACATAAAAATACTGCTGTACATTTCTTGAATTTGTTGATATTGTGTATCTCTTAAAAGCCTGAATGCTACTGTAAGCACAATTAATTGCTTTATGTTGATATATGAAAGTCATTGGCACACTTTTTACAATTTTAATTGGTCTTGTTTTTACTATTGTATTGTTTAAGCACAGTATATTAATCCAATAGACCATTGTTGCAATACATTTATTAATTGTATTAATATTTGTGCATTAATATGGACACACATGGAGCAATCTTTAGAAACAATGAGAGCCAAGGCAATTGAGAAGCACTGTCTTACTTTTATAGTTGAAAAGCATAGATGTTTCCTAATAGTAGAAGTAGACTTAGACCTTCAGAAGGAGTTGGACAGAAAAGTAGAAGGATTGGAAGAGAGTACAACGAAGGCCACTGATGTTAAGGCAGGTGAGACAACTCAGGAAGCTTTTCTAGTCCTGCCCAAGAATTTAGATCATGGAGATATATATATATATATATATATATATATATACATACATACACATATACATACATATACATATGTACACACATATATGTATGCATATATGCATATATACATACATATACATATATGTATGCATATATGCATATATGCATACATATACATATATGCATACATATATATGTATATAGGTGTATATGTATATATACATATATGTGTGTATGTGTGTATATGTATATATACATATGTGTATGTGTGTATATGTATATATACATATATGTATATGTATATGTATATGTATGTATGTATACATACTGACAGCAGGGAGTTATTGGTGGGAATTTTAGTCCACCCTCTGAGGATGGGGAGTTGCCAATCTAATTAAAGGAGGCATTTTTGAATGTAATAATTAAATCTAGGAATTCTACTTCATCTATGAGTAAGGTTGAGGCCACATATCCTATGTTGTCATTATTTAGTCATGTCCAACCCTGTGTGATTGTTGGGGTTTTCTTGGCAAAAATACTCTAGTGCTTTGCCTTTTCCTTCTCCAGCTCATCTTACAGATGAGTAACCAAGACAAATAGGATTAAGTGACTTGCCCAAAGTCACACAGCTAGTAAGTGTTTGAGATCAGATTTGAACTCATAAAAATGAGTCTTCCTAACTCCAGTCCTGGAACTTTATCTACCGTGCCACCTAGCTGTCTAATATATCCTATAATAGACAGATACTGTAAGCCTAAAGTTTGCATTTTCTTTAGACATGTGTCATGTCTGTAAGAACAATACTGGGAAATTTGCATTGGATAGTCAAGAAAATGCCTGGAATGGAAGGTCCTTAAACCAGACAAAGTGATGAGACTGACAGATAGCCTAGGAGGGGGTAACTGCAATAACAGGGAACTCCTAGAGTAAGGCTCGCTGTTTCTTGGCATTAATCTATGCACAAACTTTCGCTTAGATGTTTGAGGGGTAGATCATAAGATATCTGTGATAATTTTGTCAGTCAATAACTATTTATTAAGGGCTTACAATATCAGGAACTGTGTTAAGAGCTGGGGATGCAAAAAAAGAGGCAAAAGACAGTCCCTGCCCTCAAGGAGTTCACATATCATGTGGCCGGCGCAGACAAGAAGCAAACACGTATATACACACAAGCTATATACAGGATAAGTAGGAAATAATTAAGAGAGAGAAGGCACTAGAATTAAGAGGGACTGGGAATGATTTCCTATATGAGGATGGGATTTTAGTTGGAACTTTAGTTGGGAAATAAGAGAAGCCAGGAGACA